TTGATCCGCGGTCTCGAAATTCAAGGAATGGCGCTCTGTCGCGGTTCAGGATCGTCAAGGCGCAACAATAACGGTGATTCGCGGCGTTGACGTTCAAGGAATGATGTTCTGGCACAGTTCTGTAATTTCGAACGTTGTCAAACGGTAGTCTTCCAACGGCGCACCTCCCCCAATGAAAATGAATCTTTGTATGGGCCCATGAAGAAGGATATTGGAGGGATGGTATATTGCAATATCGTCGATGAGTCTTGGGTTTGCACCGGTCCTCTTCCTCCTCCGCCCGCCCTCGCTAAACTATTTGTTTCGGTCTTGTCCGCTTCGTCCACTTCTTTCTGTGTCATTGCACTCCTCCCACTAGCCGCCTCCGTCTCCTCCTCCTCCACCTCCTCCTCCTGCTCCTCCTCCTCCTCCTTGCGCATCAGCCAGCACGCTCACGAAGCCATTAGGTTTTCCAGGCATTTGTGCAACACCACTGCCCAGAGCAGATGCACATGATGATGGTGGTGGTGACGATGATGGCGATGGTGGTGGTTGTGGTGGTGAATGATGATGATGATGAGGACGATGATGAAGATGATGAGGATGATGAGGATGATGAGGATGATGATGATGATGATGAGGATGATGAGGATGATAACGTTGCTGCTGATGATGGTGATGATGATGGCGATGGTGTTTGTGGTGGTAGATGATGATGATTATGATGTTAGTGGTGGTGTTTATGGTGATTGTGATGGTGGTGGTGGTGATGATGACGTGATGATGATGATGGTGGTGATGACGATGATGGTGGTGGTGATGATGATGATGATGATGATGATGGTGGTGGTGGTGGTGGTAGTGGAAAGAATGATGGTAGTGGTGGATGATGATGATGATGATGATGATGATGATGATGATGATGATGATGATGATGATGATGATGATGGTGATGGTGATGGTGATGGTGATGGTGATGGTGATGGTGAGGAGGAGGTCTCCTCCTCCTTCTTCTCCTGCTACTCCCTGTCATCTTCTTGGGCCTTCGGCGCCCTCCGTCTTGCCGCTCGCCCTCCTGCTGCTCTCCTCAGCTATCCGACGATGCTGTTTGTCAATCCTGGCACGCACCTCCGCTGGTTCGGCCTCTGGGGGCCGTTTTCGACCAGCGCAGGCAACAAATAGATCAGCCTATTGAGATGAGTCGGATTGGAGTAGATTGAGGTAGACTGGACTGCAGTCGACTGGACCAGACTGGAGAGGACTCTACTCCAATCCACTCCACTTTCCTAATCTGCCCGAGTGTGCTCTACCGTTCACACAACTCTACTCTGCTCCACTCGACCCTACTCTGCAGTGCCCTAACCTGTTCTACCCTACTCTTACTACTCGGCTCTAGTATGTTCTCCTGTCCTCTAATCTGCCCTCATCTACCATACTCTGTTCTATTATACCCGACTCTACTCTACCATCAACCCTATTCCAATCAGCTCTATTCTACCCGAACCTACTTTACTCTACTCCACTCTACTATACTCTACCCACTCTACTCTACCCACTCTATTATACCCATTTTAGTATACTCTACTCTACTCTACTCTACCCGGCTCCTACTCGACTCTACTCCGATCCAACTCTACTCTAACGTGTTCCTGCTCTCCTCAACTATACGCAGCTCTCCTCTACTCCATCAGACCCTGCTCTAATATACTCTGCTCCGTTCTGCTCTGCTCTTGTCTGGTTTCCTCTACCCTATGTTGCTCTACTCCACTTGCCTACTCTTCTCTGCTCTACTCCCGCCTACTCTACGATGCTCTGCTCCATTATACTCTACTCTATTCGACCATCTACCCTACTCTGCTCTACTCGACCCTACTCGAACCTACTCTGCTCTACTCCTCCTCTGCTCTACTCTACTTTGCTCGACTCTGCTCTGTTCTACCCGACGCTACTCTGCCATCTGCCCTGGTCTACTCTTTTCTGGTCTACCCTGCTCTACTCCATGTTCCATACCCTGTCGTCTTCTAGTGTATTATAGTATACTCTTACTCCTGCTCCTACTACTACTCCTACTCCTATTCCTGCTCCTACTCCAGTCCTACGCCTACTCTAATCTACACTCACCCACTTTGCTTTACCCTAAACCTTGTGTTGTTATACTCTACTCGTCTTACCGTTTCTACTCGACTCTGCTCTGGACTACTTTATTAATCCTGTAATGCTCTACTGTGTGTTACCCTACGCTTCCCATCTCACCTTCTCTACTCTACTGTACTGGAAGGCTCTGCAAGAGCAGGGAAAGCCAATGCAATGACAGAGGGATCCAATGCAATAGCAGAGCAAGCCATGACAACCATCTGGGGCAACATGAAGGCGGGTGCATCACTGGACCAATTCTCCATGGCTTGAGCCAGGACTCCTATAGGCAAGCCCATTTGGAGAACATCGGGTCCGAAACGAAAAACTGACCTCGGGGCAGGCTCCTCCTGCTGCTCTCGTCAGGCACGGTTGGGAGCTTCGACGCAGGCGCAGCCTGTCGCGCTGGTGGCTCTGGCCCACAACGCCTCGGCACGACACCCTAACCACGTGGTTAGGGTGCCGTCGCCCAGCTTGCTGCGCACGCGCCGAACACATGTTTGCCGTCGTCCATCATAGCTGTTTTGGCATGTACCAAGAGGGCATTGCATCGTCCGGCGTGGCGTTCGTTCAACATTTTTTTGCGATTCCATTTTTTCTGGGCGGTGGTGGTGTATATAAATCGTGCTCGCAACCACGTCCCCTTCCCCGAAGCGATCACGCCCCGAGCCTTTTCCCAGCCTCCCGCCGCACGGAGCGGAGTGACACGCGATCCGCCTGCGGGGCATGTCGCGTCGCAAGGGCCGCCGCCGCGGCGCAGTAAGGAGAACGGTTCCCGACCGCATTTGACGACTTGTTTTTTTTGTTGTTGTTTCAATATGGCGCGTTTTTTTTTCCTGCTTGCGGCCTCCGGGGTTCGTTGTCGGGCCCCAGGGCAGTCAGCAGCAAGTCCAGAACGAAAACCTGACCCAGAGCTAGGGGCCGAGACCTCTCGGGTCGCGGATTGCATACATCAATCCAGCGGGTGTCTGGGACCTTGTTCCGTGCTTCTCCCGCTCCCGCTCCCCTCCCCTCCAGAAGGAGGGGCAGGGGGGAGGAGGAAGGTAGGGGGAATAGGGTGGGCCCATCCGTGGGCCCACCGCTTTTGGGAGGTCTGCTCATACGGATGCTGGGTTGTCTGTTGTGTCTTGCATTGCATTGTATTGCAGTGCAATCGCATTGCATTGCACTGCATTGAGATGCAATTGCGTTGCAGCGCAATCGCATTGCACTGCATTCAGGGGGGTTGGATGGAGAGAGGATGGAGAGGCGGACGGGGAAGGATTGAGGAGGGAGGGGACAGGGAGTCACCCAGTGCCACTAAAGTGGCAACAGTTCTAAACAAGCCAGAGAAAAAAAACAAACAATACTCCAAAAACATCGACGGGTCTTAAACAACCAACAACTCACAGATGTCGGAACTGACGCTGGCGCAGACGTCCGATCACCGAGATTCGTTGTCGGAGCCCTGCTGTTTTTTTTTGGGGACCTCTCTGCTGTTTTTGTTGGTGCTGCATTTGCTTTTTGGTTCTTGTCTTGAAGCCCCTCCTCACTGTCGAAGGTTCCTGCACGTCCGCGGGCAAGCAGCCAAGCAGCGTATGATGATGCACCCTTCCGCCTCCTCCCTCCGGGGGGTGATTCAATCAGATTGGTTCTGAAGCCGCGACTGATTATATTCGGCGACCCTGTTTGGACGGCCGTCGTTGAGCGGTTTGCACGGGCCGAAGCTCCGGGAGGCCCCCGTTGAGCTGTTTGGACGGCTTCGTCGTCATTTGTATCTGTATCATACTGAGGCATGCAGCCCGTATTTTTCTTGCCGACCGCCGTATTTCGAGCCAGAATGAAGCAGACAAAAAAAAAAAAAAAAAAATCGGCGACCCTGTTTGTAATGATCACTGCGCTACACAGAGGACGCCCATTCCATCAGGAGGTAGCAGTTGGAGCGCCATCCCCGCAGGAGGCAACAATTTCCAACACAGTGCCTTCACTTGTCTTCTCTCATCCATCGTCCTCCTGCCTCTTTACGCTCTGATCCGCCCTTGGGATAATGATCGCGTCGGATCGACTCACAGACAAAGCGACATACCATAGACTTACAATCTAAACAAGAGACAGCAATTGCCAAGGTACTGTCTTGTCTTGTACATAGTGAGGAGGGGTCTGACAACATAAAAAGCCCTAAACACAGACAGGTCCAAGCACAACAAACAAAACATCAAGTCTCCGACAACGAATCTCGGTGACTGGACGTCTGCGCCTGCATAAGTTCCGAAATCTTTTTTTTTTTTTTTTATTACAAAAAAAAAAAACAGTCGATGTATTTTTTGGGGGGTGTACCGCTTTTTAAATAAAAAAAGAACTGTTGCCACTTTGGCGGCGCTGGGTGATTCCGCCCACCTGTTGCCACTCTGTGAATTACGAGTGGGCGTTGATACTGGGAGCCGTGAGCCTGCATGTGAGCGCACATCCGTTGATACATGATCAGTGATGTGTCGGTTGAAACATATTTACGCAGCACCGGCAACTCTCACAACTACCCTCTTTCCTTCGTTCCGCTGCTCTGCCACATCCCACCATTTCATGCTATTCCTCCTCGCCTCCCTCCTTGCCAGTCCTGCCTTGGCGTGATCCGTCTTGGACTTCAAGGGGCGATTCGATCAAATAGTTGTTGGCGGTTGATGACACTGGTGCAGATGACGACGAGCTGCGCGCGTGGATGGTTCGGTTCCCGAACCCAAAAGTGGGCCCGCCGATCCCCCCGGCGGCCCCGAGGTAGGAGGCGGGGTCTGCTGGTTCTCTGGCGGCTTTGTTGCTTCGGGATGCTCCCCAGCAGCTGCGCCTTTTTGAGAGCTTTCCAGGGGTGCCCCTGTTGTCGCGAACGACCGCCGCAGATCTCAGTTACGCCCCGCAACGCCAGACTCTCTCCCGTTGGGAGAAAATCCTGACGGCGAGTTTTCGGCGTTTCCGGCCTCCAGGGGCCCTCGCCGGGCCCCCATGGACCCTCGCAAGCCGACGCGGGATGACAAACTGCTCCCAGAATGGACTGCCATAGAACGAGTTTAGGACCAGGAGAATTCCGTTCCACAGCTTTCCGGAACGCCCTCAGAGCACTCCGGAAGGCTCTGAGAAGGCCGCGGCGCCCGAGACATCCCCCAGAGCCGCCAGATCTCAGAGGTTGTCGGTTTATCATCACCCGAATGTATAATATTGTCATGGCTTCGTCGTACAGCTGCTCCCAGAACGGAATGCAAGGGTCCTGCTTCCCGTCTCTCGTCGAAAAAAAAAAAAACATAAAAGCAGGAGGTCCGCGCGGATGTCTTTTTTGTCGGCGTGGGAACCCCGTGGCGGCGTCACCTGCGCCGCCCCTGGCGCGCTCCGCGCTCCCGGGCGGGGGGGGGGTCCACCGACGACCCGAGAAGTCCGCGCGGATCTCCAAAAACGCGTGTTTATGTTCACGCACTGTGTCACTATTGTGCTCCTGCTCCCCCTCCTCGTCCTCCTGCTCCCCCGCCCCGTCACGTCTTCGCGGTGTAAAACAGCAAGACGGAGCTTGTGTTCACTACTCTTGGCGTCACGAGGCCCTCGCTGGGCCCCGGAGCCGTCGAAACGTCGGCTCGGGCCGAGAAGGGCCCGGTCCTGGGGAAGCTGGTGATGCGTGGCAGTTGATGGTCTCAGCAACCCCAGACCCCCTCGAGTAATGAAAAAATCATGACGGGAGGTTTTTCGCCATTTTCGGCCCCTGGGGGCCCTCACTGGGCTTCGGGAGCGTCAAAAAACGACTCAGGATGACAAACCGGTCCTGGGGAAGGGGTCGAGAACTCTGGGGTCGACGTAACGAAAAAATCATTACGTCGGGGGTCTGGGACTGGTGGCTCACGTCTGGCGATTGGTGGTCTGTGTTCTTCACCTGCCGCTGGGGGCGGCTGTGTGCCCGGGGTGACCCGGAGAAGGCTCGGCGGGCAGTTGCCCACACCCGCTGCGAGCTTGTTGGTGGAGGCCCCCTCGAGCGTGGTGCTGTACGGAACGCTGCTCTCCAGTGCCTGGCACAGAAGGGGGACCATAAAAAACGGGGTCTCGATCCTCAACATAAGACGGAAGTAACCCCGATGGCGAACTTTCCCCGTGATAATGAAGTTCGGCCTCCGCGCCCTCCGCCTCTATTTGAAAACCGTCGAGGCCGAGGATAAAAAACTCAAACTACTTAAGGGGGGGGGGGTACTTTATATTATCGTGGGTTCGGGGTTAGTTGGGCGACGTTAAAAAAAACGGGGTCGCCTGCGCCGACAATGGCGCAAGCTGCCCGCGTGGCCCTCGTCTCCACTGTGGCGTGCCGCGCCGGCGGCCCGCGTGAGTCACCGCGCGAGGTCGCCGTGGCATCGCGCGTAAGACCCGTTTTGAATCGTCGCTCAATTGGAGTGTTATCAGGAGGAAAAGAAACACACAGGCACAATTAATCGTCGACTCCCAGGAAAATATGCAAAAATATGGGAAGTGGTGGGGAAGACAAAAACCCAGAAAATATGGGAAAATATGGGGGATATTTTTATTTGTGTGTATTTATTTGTGTGTCCTAATTTCCCTTTATGTTAGACGTGTCGGTGGTCCGAGGTGCCCCCAGGATCGCCAAGGATGCTCCCGCGGTCTCCAGGGCAGCCCTCAGGAGACCCTCGCCAGCATGGCGATTCGGCCAGACTAGTCAGCGCGCGCCGCTGCCACTGCACCTCGCTGTGAGGGTCCCAGCCAACATCCCAAAGCGTGGTTTGGGCGGCTGGAACCGGACCCATGACCTTTCACCGCGTGCATTCTCTAGCTTCTTCCAGTCTGCGGAGGGAAACAGCGCAGGATTGTTCGATCCTGGCGTGATACCCGGGATGCTTATGTCAGCACAGCAGGAACTCAACAACCAACTGGCGAGTCGGAAAATTGGCTCACTGAGTGTGACTGGGCAGTGAGCTGCAGCGCCAGAGTACAAGGAGCCAATCAAGCCGGCTCGCATAGCCAGAACCTTCGGAACCCTCGCCGTCTCGCTCCTCTTGCTCCTCCTCGTCCTTTGTCTCTGCCTGCTCCTCCTCCTCCTCCCCCTCCACCTCCTCCTCCTCCTCCTCCTCCTCCTCCTCCTCCTCCTCCTCCTCCTCCTCCTATTCCTGCTCTTCGTGATCCTCCTCCGCCTCCGCCTCGCTTTTTCCCTTCTTATCCTTCCTCTTTCCCTCCTGCTCCCACGCCATGATCCTCCTCACCGCAATTCCTCCTCCCCTGCCTCTGCCCGCGCGGGGGGGGAGAATCCTCAGCCTGTGCTCCTCTCGTTGCTCCTCCTCCTCCTCCTCCTCCTGCCGCTCCTCCTCCCAGGAGAAGGTCATCAAGACGCACGCCATCGAGCGTCGCTCATTCATCAAGGGTGACGACGACTAGAATATTCTTGTACTGATTGTTCCTGCAGCCGACGCGCTGTCTGCTCACCCTCTGGCCTTTCCTCCTCTTGCATTGCATCCTCATCCTCCACCTTCTCCCCATCCCCCCCTCGTCCCCTCATCCCCCTCATTCCCCCTCCTCTATCTCCTCCACCTCCTCCCTCTCCTTCGCGTCCTCCAGCTCCTCTTCCTTCAGCTCCTCCTCCATCCCTCCTCCTCCGTCCCTCCATCCTGCCTCCTCCCCCTCCGTCTCTTGCTCCATGCTCCTCCGCCTTCCTCTTGTCCTTCCTCCGCCGCCATCCCCGTCGCCATCGCCATCGCTCTCGCCGTCGCCGTCGCCGTTGCCGTCGTCGTCGTCGTCGCCGTCGTCCGTCGTCCGTCGTCCGTCGTCCGTCGTCCGTCGTCGGTCGTCGGTCGTAGTCGTCGTCTGTCGTCGTCGTTGTCCTCCTCCTCCTCCTCCTCCTCCTCCTCCTCCTCCTCCTTATCGTCATCGTCGTCGACTCAGTCGTCGTCTGTCGGTCGTCGTGTCTTCCCCTGCTGAGCCGGCCGCCACGGATAGGCCTGCCCGCCGCTGCCGCCCCACGAGGGCAGTCGCGTCGTCCCGGGGGGGGTCCGAGGGAGGGAGGGGAGGGAGGGAGGGGGCGCAGGGGGGGAGGGGGAGGCGGATGGGGAGGAGGAGGAGTGTGGGAGGAGGAGGAGGAGGAGGAGGAGGAGGAGGAGGAGGAGGAGGAGGAGGAGGAGGAGGAGGAGGAGGAGGAGGAGGAGGAGGAGGAGGAGGAGGAGGAGGAGGAGGAGGAGGAGGGGAGGAGGAGGGGAGGGGGGGGGAGGGGGAGGGGAGGAGGAGGAGGAGGAGGAGGATGAGGAGGAGGAGGAGGAGGAGGAGGAGGAGGAGGAGGAGGAGGAGGAGGGGGACGAACTTGCGCGGTGGAGAGGGGATAATGGAGGAGGAGGAGGGGGCGAAGGAGGACGAGGAGAGGGAGGATGAGGAGGAGAAGGGGGAGGAGGAGGAGGGAGCAGCAGGATGGAGGAAGAGGAGGAGGAGGAGGAGGAGGAGGAGGAGGAGGAGGAGGAGGAGGAGGAGGCGGGGGAGGAGACCCGTAGCCATTTTGGCTCACGTTTTCGCGTTTCCCCGGGAAGCGAGTAGATACCGATTTCGCGGCCAGCTTTCAGTGATTTTGTGCAGACAGCTCTGCACTCTCCCCGTTTCTCGCACCGTGTGTCTCGTCGCAGGCGGCTATGTTGGTACTTCCGGCTTCGAGACCTGGCAGCGTGGGGCATCGCAAGTGCGGGTATCGTCACGACTTCCCCTCGCGCTCCCACCGCTGGGCATGCGGGCGCCCGCTCGCAGGAGCCCTCTCCACCGGCAGGCGAGCGGCAATTGGGTGCCTGGGTCAACGGGCAGCCCGAGGTCCGAGCAGGCGGCGGCGGAGGGGGCAAGGGCAAAAAAGGTGGCGGCAGGGGCGGCGGTGCGCAGGCGCCTCTGCTCAGCTCTACCTCGACCCTGAGACCATTGATGTCTACGCCAAGCTCTCCCCTGCCGGCATCGAGCGTGTCCTGGTTCACTGGACGCCTCTACTGGCGGCACGGGTCGTGGCTCACGAGGCGCTCTTGCACGGTGAACCCTGGGCCGAGGCCACGTCGGCGCGCAGCGAGCAGGACGCCCTCGCTGACGAGCGGGACGGCGGACCCGAAGCCAGAGGGGGCGCGGAGGGGAGCGGCGCGGGGGGGCGGAGCGATGGGGGAGGGAGACGAGACCTCGCCGGCGGAAGGCCGGCGGAATGGGCGGCGGAAGCCAAAGGGCCCAGACCCCCGACGTCATGATTTTTTCATGACGCGACCCCCAGAGGTCCCGACCCATTCCCCGGGACCGGTTTTTCGTCCTGAGTCGTTTTTTGACGGTCCCGAGGCCCGGCGAGGGCCCCCGGAGGCCGAAAATAGCGAAAAACCTCCCGTCGTGATTTTTTCACGACGCGAGGAGGTCTGGGGCTCCCGGAGCCGGCCGGGCGGTTGCGGCAGGAGTTTTGCGCCGTGTCCGCGAGGCGGCGGCCCCTGCGCGGGCGCCGGCGGTGGCCGCGAGTCGGCCGACGTTGAACGAGCCGCGCTGTCGGAGAGCGCGGGCCGTTCGGCACTCGGCTCGACCCAGCTGAATCCCGCTTGATATCTTCCTCCTCCTCCTCCTCCTCCTCCTCCTCCTCCGTAGCCATTTTGGCTCAAGCCATTTTGGCTCAAGGTTGAAACCTGCCCTGGGGCTTCAGCCTTGTCGCAGGCGACAGGGAGGCCCGAACCTTCCGAGGCCAGGACGCCTCTCTCTTTCCCGTCGTGCGCCCCAGCACGCTCCCAGTTTTGGCTACAACGACGTGCACTGAGGCGCCATGGGCCCTGCCGCCTGCGACCGCCCGCACCCTGCTCAGCATCGTCTCGATGGTGGTGATGATGTTGATACGGAGATTGCCTCCTCTGGTGGCCGCGATTCCTCTGTCGAGCCACGCCGCTCGGCCTCGAGGAGCGGTGGCAGCCGAGGTGCCCGTCGTGCTGCTCGCGCTCGGCCCTCCTCCCACGGCAACGCAGGGCCTGCTCCTGAGCCTCCTCGCCGTGCTCGCCGAGCTGGCCGTACTCGTGGCTCTGGCGGGGAAGTCCCACTTTCTCCTGGTGTTGCTGCCTCGCATCGGGGCCCCGACCCAGCAGCACAGGGAGCATCTCGGGGTGCTGCCTCCTGCCTTGGGGCGCGGGCTATGCCCTGCGAGGAGTGGGATGATGCCAAGCGGGCACAAGTCGCTGCAGACCTTGAGATGGCCGCTACCTTCCCGTCGCAGGAGATGCGCCCCGACCTGCACGCCACCCCGCAGGGCCCCGCTGCTGGGATCTTCGACCCATGGGCCGCGGCTGCTGGGGCTGGCGCCCCCTCGCGCGCTCAGGCTGCTACTGGTGGTGCTGTTGACTGCGGTGATGAGGAAGAACAAGCCGCCTTCACTCGGGCCTTTTACCATGCCGACATCTCCGCGCGATTCCTGCAGCTGCGCAGTGAGTTCGACAACATCGTTACCACGGCCATTACCAGCTCCGTCCAGCAGTCGAACGCCCCGATCTTGGCCACGCTCACCACACTGCAGAAGCAGCTCTCCTCGCAGCACACCTCCATCGATCAGCAGGTCATGTCATCGGTGCGCCCTCAGTTCGATGCTATGCAGCGACAGTTTCAAGAGCAGCATGATGCCCTCAGCCGTCGCGTCGATTACAACGAGCGGGACATCGAGGCCCACGCCGCTCAGCTGGCTGAGCTTCAGAAGCAGGTCGAAGAGCTTCGCCGCCAGAATGAGTTGGACCGACAGCTACCTTCGCGGCCTCCTGCCCCGCCTGGCTTCGACCGCGAGATCGATCCGACGCAGGTCATTGTGGTCTCGTCCAAGCTCGTCGGTTTGGCTGGCGTCCGTGAGGTGGTCAACTCCTTCATGGGTGAGCTCAACTTCTCTGAGGGCGACTCGTACACGATCAAGGCCCTCACGCCGCTTCCCTCCAAAAAGTTTGCTGTCTGCTTCTCTGGGCCGATCGGACTTGCCTCCCGTCGTGTGCAAAAGGCCCTTGCCAACCTCAAGTCGGATGGCGCCTGGCGGGTCTTCCAGTGCCCGGCTCAAGGTGCTGACCCAGCCCGTCTTCACTTCGGTCCTGACAAGTCGCCGAAACAAGTACGTGGCGAGATGCTCCTTCGTAAGGTCCGTTCTTCCCTCATGGAGCTTGACAATCAGAGGAAGTGGTTTGTCGATCGGGAGCGGAGCGTTCTCAAGTCTGACTACACCGACATCCTCCGTCTTGTCCCCCGCCCAGGTGACGAACCTCCTGAGATCTCCTGGAACGACGTGGGGATCCGCGCCCTTGGCCTGGACCGTCGGGACCTTCAGGGAGCCATTCGTAACATCTCCTCTGCGCCGACGGCCACCCAGTGGTGTCTTTAACGCCATTACCAGTATGTTTGTGCTTCCAGTGGGGCAGGTCGGCGGAGAGATCACAGCCAGCCTCACATTCATGACCTGGAATGCACGTGCTCTTCTTCAATTTGGTGGGGCGAGGGCCTCGCCTAAGCTATCTTACCTAAGCAGATTACAGCCTGGGCGATCCATCTTGGCTCTCCAGGAAGTGCATGCGGATCGGTTTGAGTTGAACGACTTCGTGACAAGGCTTTCTTCCACGGCCATTGTCCACAGTAGCTTTTGTGAAGATGACGTCGGAGAGGTTGTCCGCGGCTCTGGGGGAGTTGCAGTCATTCTTCCTCCTTTCTCATCTACTTCGGTCAGTAGCTGTGCGGTGCCTCTGGTCAGAGGCAGGGTGCTTCGTGTTGATGTGGCACTTGGGAGTACACAGCTGGTGGTCTTCAACGTTCACAATCACGGCTTGACCAAGAGTGAGGTACAATCTGTCTGTGAGCAGATCGGTTGTGCTCTGCGTCGTGCTGCTGATGACCCACTATCGTACTTCGTGGTTGTCATGGGGGACCTCAACTACAGTTTCGATTCTTCTCTTATCTTTCACCGACCTACTGGTGTACAGCGACAGCAGACCCATGACCATAAGGTTCATGCTCCAATTTGGGCGGCTACACTTGGCAAGATGATGGAAGTTAACTCTGAAGCGGCCACCCACTTCTGTAAGTTCACCAATTCCATCAACATCATCGACCGCTTCTTCTGCTCTGCCACAGGCTGGATGATGTGTCAGCTCATGACCGAGGTCAACACGGTGGACACGCCAGAGCACCTGAGCTCCCTGGGCATCTCTGATCATGCTGCTCTTTCGATTCGGCTGCGACTTCGTGGTGCGCGTCCTGCTTCTGAGCGGCCCATTCCCAAGCACATCTTCACCTCTGTTGCCTTTCAGCGCCGACTCCGAGGAATGGTTGCTGATAGTGCTGAGGATTTGCTCCGATGGAGCCCACCTGTGGCCACAGAGCACTATAAGTACATGATGAAGGAGGCCGCCAGGGAGGCCCGCAACATCCTCTTCTTCTCG